CTGTATAATGCTCCCTCCTGCTGGCTCTGGGGATGTCACAACCGTAGTTTTTCCTCTTGTTCCTTGGTGGTTCCGCTCTTCTGCCCCACAACAGATTGCTGCATGCTTCTGTTTGGGAAGCAGCTTGTGATCTCTCCCTTGTCAATTTTAAGCAAAATTGCCTGGATTATTCTACCTACCAATTTACTGAGCTACCAATTTCAATAATCCAATATGGATTTTTTTCCCTGAATGTTAACAGGAGAAAGGGGGCAACAGCCTGGATGTTGCAGCTGATGCTGTGCTTGTTAAACCTGACTTTGTGAACTGCAGATACAAGAGAAGCAGAATTCTTCTAAAACACCTTTTTCCCCCTAAAATGACAACAGTGTGTTTTAGAAAATAAACCATGCAGTTAACTCACAAGAGGTTTTTGTGAAGAAGAGACTGGGAGGAGTTTGGGGTTCTGGCTCCCTGGGAGCCACTCATCTCTCATAAATCTTGTAAGCCAGAACCTTGAAAAATGGACTCCAGTTTTGGGTGCTGAGCTAGAGATGCAGCAAGGCCCCCCTCGCCCTCTCCAGCAGTATCCTGACAGCTGCTCTTCAGTGAAGTCAGTGAGCTTGGGCTGTGTTCATGTAACTAGCTGGGTACTTAAAAAATAGATCCTTGGTAAATTGGGGCTTTCCCCCATTTCAGATATTCCATATGCAGAACACAATACCTACCTCAAAGAGCTGTTGCCATGTTTAATGTGTGATATGAAATCTCAAGAGAAAAGATGCTATGCTGTAGGTACAAAGTGTTGTGCCATTGTTTACAATTAAATATGGCCGTATGTGAAACCTTTATTTTTAGCAACTTCTACAGGTTTGACCCATCCCACCACTTACTGGCTTCTGTCCCAGTAGGACTGGGAAAGGCAAACACAGAGTGTCTCCAGTGAGCACACATTAAAGGTGGATGTCAGACTAGACTGGGGGCAAAGCTGGAATGCAGTTAACTGAGTCATTTTGGCTAAACATTTTGCTGTCTTTCAGGTTTGAAAAAAGGTGCTGTGGACAGAACAGATTAGCCTTGTGGAGGGACCAAGGGAGGCTCTAGCCCAGGAAGGTGCAAAAGCAGCAGTTCAGGCTGCTTTACCACTTCCATGTGCTAAGGGTTAAGCTGTAAACCGGCACTCTAATGCACTCTCACACTGCCAGCAGGGAGGCACTGAGAGCATGTCCTGGTTGTTTCTCAGCTTCCTGTACTTGCTGTTGGGGGAAGAGCAATCCTGATTGCTGTGTGGTGAGGGAATTTGGAGTGACTGCAGTCTTATGGCTGGCCCATTTGGTTGTATCAATTCCCTTTCAGTAACAGGAAAAAAACAACTTTAAAAATTTATAATCCTGCTTTTGTTTATTCATCAAAATATTTTGAAAATGCCATAATCCAGGCATCTTAAATCTGTAACACTTACTGCAACTCAGAATTCCCGGTAGGAAGTGGTGAGCCCAACTGTCCACTCAGCTTGGGTGTGAAGCTGCTATGTACTGAGGCAGTAGCTAAGGCCAGCCATGCTAGAGTCAGAGGAGTCCCTTATTTCAAAATGCATTTTACTAGCTCACACTTCTTTAATATCTGAAATGTTTGAACTGTGAGCCAAACAATGCAAGAAACAGAGCTATTAGACTCTTAAGGACTGAAATTGACAAGCATTTGTCAAAGATTCCTGCATGCTACTAGCTTTAATACTCTTCCAACGTTTGTGATGATTCTTCTCTCTTGGAAGGCTAAATTGGAATCATGTGACATGCATTGGCTTTTAATGACATCAACATCCATTTCCAAGCTATTAGTTACATATATTAATTAAATGGGCATTAATTTTTTTTTAGCAAGCACTTACTTTCTCTCCCTTGCAGCTGTCTTCATTTTTATATATTGAAGTCCTGATTTTTCTCAGCCAAAAAAACCCAAATATTCTTGAAGAGCACACTAGCAAAATGCAGAGTGCTTTGTAATGTGTTACTTGACAACAAATGTACTTAGTTACAGTATTTGTAGGTTCTGGTAGGAGCTGTACATTTCTGTATGTTGGAAATAAAGCATCTTTAAAGAACATGTCTGTTTGCAACTGTTCAAATTACAGTAAACTCTGAAAATTTAAGTGTGTGTGCTGCTCTCTTTACTCACAGAAATGGAGGTAAGTCTTGCTTGTATTCAGTCATTCCTACTTTTTACTAAAATGTTCTTTAATTTTTCCTGTAGAACCAGCATTTTTTGTTTATTTTCATACCACAGAATAGGCTGGTACACATCATCCTGCAATGTAGTTGGTTATTTAAAAAGGGCCCACTGGGTTTGAATGGCCAACTGAGATTAACTGGGAAAGGATTGTGTCTTCCTTCTGCAACTGAGTATTAAGAATTTGAGTTTCAGACAGTTATTACTACAGACTTTATTAAAGTTTCAAACAGTCTTCTGTAATAGAAAAATAGAATCTGCTGTTTACAGGTTCATCTGACTCCAACAGTGGCACAAAATTTACATATCCTTTACTTGGAGAGATAAAAACAGTGCATAAAAATGTTAATGTTCAGGCTCAGGCAGGCTTTGAAATCTCCTTTGCAGCATTAAAGTAGCACACTAAAGGCTAGTTTTCCCTCACATGGAAGCAAACTCAAATACATTGTTTTTTGGTTTTTGGGTGCCTTTTTTTTAATGCATTGTGCAAGGATGTATTCTAGTAAAATGTCTGATTTCTAGCTGAGATGTTCAGGATCTTGGTTTCCTTGAAATACTTACTGATTATAGTCCCAGCTCACTGCTGGTAGTCATTCCCTCTGATGAGGGAAGGGCAGTTCTAGCAGTGTTGAGTGCGGGCTGCTGCATGGACTGTCCTGCTGGCTGAGGGCAGCACAGGCTGATCAGGCTTGGGTAGGGTGAGCCCAGTCCCATGGCTCTGTTTTGTGCTGCTGCTGTCTCTTCCCTTCCCCAGGTGGGAGAGTGTGAGGCTGTGGTACCTTGGTGGCAGGGCACCTCAGTGGCAGCCCACGCAGCTGGGCAGAGCATGCCAGCTTCTGGGAGGTGTGAGAGAATGCAAGAATTAAATTTTTGAACTGACAAGGCTTTTTATGTTGTTGTACTGCCAGAACCTACCAAAAATGCAGACTACTCCTAGGACTAAGGATTCAATAAGAAAACACTCTGGCCTTGCAGTCAACATGGGCCAGGTGAAGAAAGTCAGGTGCAAGAAAGCCACAACCCTGTGTGTCAGCCTTGGAGCCTACCACTGTGGCCAGAAGGAGGAATGTTGTGGTTTCATTGTGTGCTGCACCTGTTTCAACATTCTAAAACAGCTTTTTTCAGTTTTATGATAAAAGTCTGAGCCTGCCAGGGGAGGGCAGACAGTTATAGGCTACAACGTCTTTAAGCCAGCTTCCTTAAGCCTAGCTTTATGCTACAGGCAATTTATCTTGCATCTTAAAAACACTTAAAACTGCTCAGGTGCAAAGGGACCTTTCTGAAGTGCCTATGGCTTGCATTCCTCACCTGTTTCCCTCGAGTATTGGATGGAACCAGCTGATTTCCTTTCCTGCTGCAGCAGTGGAATTCCCTTATCCACCTGTGTGTGTGGAAGCTGGTGCCACGGCTTGTGCCCTGCATCCTCCTATGGCAACTAATTATGCAGTTTTGTTTGCTCCAGCCAGAGCAGCAGAGGAAGGGAGGGAAGCTAGCCATGTTCTCAGCAGGGCTGGGCCAGAAACAAGGGAGTTGTTTGGACTGAGGTATGTTACACTCTAGGTGTGAATGGCCTCTGTAACAGTCAGTGCTGAGTGGCGCAGTACAAGGTCCAGAGTAAAATACCTCATCTCTTCTAATCTGGGACTCTAAAGGAGTGCCAGACTTTGGTCCTGAGTATCTTCTGTCTCGGCGGCAGCAGATGTGGAGGTATGACTGGCTTCCCCATTCACCTTACTCAGAGGGTGGTAGAGGTAGTCACCACTCCCATGGTGCCTCTCCAACCTGACCTTGAGAAAAAGGCCTACATTTCCCATGGCACTAACTGTGAGAAGCAGAGCCAAGACAGAGGTCATGGAGATCCAGGTTTTTCTGTCAGACAGAAGAAAAATCTGCATAAGCAACATCTCTTGACCTGCTTTCACATGTTCCCAGTGTGCAAATGACTTCTCAAGCTTTGTACTCCCTTCTCTGTCATCAGAAGCTTGTGGTTCTGCTCTCAGGCAGGTGAGAACATGCTCTGTGAAAGCCTCTGAAGGGCTGCTGTGGCAGCCAGAGCAAACAGATGTTTTTAGCTTTCCACTCAGTTAGAAAGTGATCAGCTGTGCCTGCAGAGCAACTGTAGCTTCACCAATACTACAGAAGCTGTGCTCTAGTGTTGGCACTGTCCTTGTCCATTTGTTGCATGTACACCAGTGAGAGAGGAAAGGTGGCTCTTGTTTAACTCTAAGCTGCAGAGTGCTAGGCTCAGAGCACAAACTGTTAGTGACAGGGGGGCTTCAGCTCAGCACCTGTCTTATGATTAGGTTTTTATCACCTTGCCTTCCCTATCCTTATCTTTCCCATCATGAGGGCTGTAGGTGATATAAATAAGTCAGAACACAGATGCTTTGGGCAATGAAGCAGCAGGTCTCTAAGCTTCACTGACACGCTGCCCTGGCCCTCAGGAGGTGGTGTGAACAACTCCATCAATGAAGAATTGATGGCATGGCCTTGCTGTACGTGTGTGTGTATATATATAGATGATGAGTATTACACACTTACTCTGACAGAGAGAATTTTTCATTGCTCCTTCCCTTATTCTGGGAAGCCAAACACCGCCCAGCTGGAAAACAAAGAATAGATAGGAGAAAGGCAGTGTTGGGGGGAGGGTGTAAAATTCCACTGAAAAAGCGTAAGCTTAAGTAAGATGACAGCCAGACAGCTGATGACTTAAGCAAACAGAACATTATGCACCAAAACAGCTCTTCCAACTTTTTTTTTTTTTTAAACACAACCACTGTAACTGGAGGTACCTTTGTTTAACTGGTCCTGTACTGCCAATTCATAGGTGATGTTGCAGCTGCCTGTCTCCCGGTTGCAGGGACACATGTGTTCACATGCACATGGTTTCTGGCAGTTTGGCCCATACCAGCCCATGGGACACTCTAGGGAATACAAAGAAGTCAGTCATTGTCAAAGCTCCACATGCTTAGAAAACATCCAGTCAATCACTGCAGCTCCCCCTGCCCCCAGCTCAACTGTGCCTGTTTCCCCAACTGCACCAGCTCAGTGCCAGGAAGGATGGGCACACTCAAAGCTTTAGGAGAGGCTCAAACCTCACCTACAGCTGACCGAGGTATTCGTGTTGCTTCTGTCACCACAGCAGTCCCTGGCCTTGTTGCTTCCCATGTGATTTTCTCCCCGCCTTATCTGAGCTACGGCCCTGCTGTTTGGCTCAGAAGCAAAGGTGGAGGGGGGCATCAGCAGCTGGTTCCTAAAGGGAAGCAAGTACTCATGTTTGAGTACAAGCATCCAGTGGGCTCTTTGGCTGTGCTGAGCAGTCGGGGCCCCAAGTTTCCTGCAGCCTGACAAAGCTGTTCTGCATTCCCACCCTGCTTCCTCCAGCAGCCCGAAAGCACCAAACTGTGAGTTAACTGCTGTTATTTTGTTTACTTCAAGGAGATTTTGTAAAACAGGGATCAGACTGACTGGGAACAAAGCAGCGCTAGCATAACCATGCACGTAAGAAGTTTACACCCACGCTGCAATTAACTTGTCCTGTTACCAGAGCAGGCTATTCAGTCAGAAACACGGGGTCTGTGAGCATTTCAGAAAAGCTGGAGTGGTTACACAATTGAGAATGTTGCTTGCTCTGCTAGCACTAGCGCCTGCACAGCCCGAGTTCAAAGGTTGTAAGCCACAATGGCCCTTTGGAGCATTTCACACCCACTGACTTGGATCACCTGAAGCCCAGGCTACAGGCAGAGCCTGGTGCAACACCCTCAGGTCAAGGATGTTCAAGCATTGATGTTCTACACTCACGAGCTTGGGAAAGCCACACGGTTCTTTGGGGCACAGACTAAATAGGCATCCACAATTTTCTAATGATGAAGAAAACTCCTCTTTCCTCTCTGCTCCCTTCTTTTCTTTTTAGCCAATTCAGGTAGGGCAGGCAAGCCCTTAAGAGCTAGGAGCTGGCAGGTTATGCTCCACCTGTGAAGTTCAGGCCTGAGCCTACCTGGCTAGACCTCACACTTGCTTTGTGTGGCTCAGATGTGATGCAAAAGCCTCTCCCCAGCCCAGGATGTTATTCAGAGCAGCCCTTACCTTGCTCACAGCTGGTGCCATAGTACCCAGCTGGGCAGGAACAGGCTCCGTGCACGGGGTCACACAAGCCACCATTCTGGCACTGGCATTTCTGGGTGCAAGCATCCCCATAGAAACCGCTAGCACAAGCTACAGGAGACAAGCAGAGATCCCATCAGGGCCCTCATTACAAAGGCAGCAATCCCACCCCATGTTTATACCCACAGAGTAGTCGCTGGCACAGGGTGCTGATGGCTGCTCAGAGAACAGAAGCTGAGTCTGTGCCTTCAACAAGGAGCAAGGGCTTAAAATGCTTCGCACCAAGCCAATCTTAAGATACTCAGGCTGCAATTAAACTCATGCTCACAAAAAGAAGGCACGCTGTGTAGCCTTTCCCTTCACTGCTCCCTCTTGGGGAGCCACCCATCACTGCAGGCAGCCAGCTGTTAGGAAGTGGTTCACATTATCCTCTTGGTGGCTATGAAGTAGTGGAGTAGAAGTCAGCATTACCTTCACTGCAGTTGCTGCCAATCCAGCCAGCATCACACAGGCATCCAGCTGTGCAAACACAAACAGGCATTAACAACAACAGAGAAAGACACAGAAACAGCAGGAACTCAAAATTAGGAGCCTCTGCTTCTTGGGGTGCCCTCTTAACCTTCCCTGCCTCTGCCAAGGAACCCACAGAAAAGGAATCCTGAACTCACACACAGGTTAGGTTCAAATACCCACCCACTACAGCTGCCAAACACAG